GTCGAAAAAGCACAACAAAAAAAGGCGAAAAAAATGACAATAGGAAGTGAGCAAAAGGCAAAAAATTTATACAACACAAAACAAAAAAAAAAAAACAACAAAAATGTGACAAAACAATACAAAAAAACAACAAAAAATGAGATAAAGAGACAAAACAAGGATATAAAAATTCAAGAACTCGACAAAAAATGAAAAAAACGGAACAAGTGAGCAACAAATATGGCAAAAACAAGACGTCATTAAAAACACGACAAAAACAAAAAAAAGGCAAAAAAAGCCAAAAAAGCGACTCAAAAAACAAAAAACTGACAAAAACACCACAGAAAAAGACGAAAAAATATAACAAAACGAAGCCGCGAAAAAGACAAAAATTAAGAATATCAAAAAAGAACAAAAATGTGACGAAAAATGAAAAAAAAAAATCAAAAACACGACAAAAAAGTGAGAAAAAAAGGAAATAAAAAAGAGCAAAAAAACCACCAACACAAGATGTCAAAAACACAACAAAAAAAAAAACAAAAAAATACGACGAAAAAAAAAATCGAGAGAAAGTAATAACAAAAATACAGAAAAATAGATGCAATGTTATTCTGACAGAATTTCTCTCGTCTCTATTGTACAGTTCAGCAAATTGCGCGGCTTTAAAAATTAATGAAATCATGTAAAATGTCAAAAAAGCACGACAGAAAACGGCGAAAAAATCACAAAAAAGAAGTGGGCAAAAAAGACAAAAAAAAAATAGATAAAAAACAAAAACGACAAATAAACAACAAAAAAAGTGATGAAAAATCACAAGAAAACAACAAAAAGTGTCATAGAGTGACAAAACAAGGACACAAAAATTCAAAAACTCGATAAAAAGATGAAAAAAAAAGCCAAAAAACGTAAGCAACAAAAAGGCGGCAAAAACAAGAATTTATTAAAGAACAGGACGAAAAATAGAAAAAAAAGCAAAAAAGCGACCCAGAAAACAAAAAAATGACAAAAAACCACCATAGGAAAGGACGAAAAAACACAACAAAACGAAGCGGCCAAAAAGCCAAAAATTGTCAAAAATTAAAAACATCAAAAAAAGAATAGAAGTGTGACAAAAAGGGAGAAAAGAAGACAAAAAAAATCAACAACAATAAAAAATTGAGGAAAAAGGAAATAAAAAAGCAAAAAAACGGCAAAAACAATACTTCAAAAACACAACAAAAAAAAAACAAAAAATGATGACGGAAAAGGGGACAGAAAAGCGACAAAAAGACGACACAAAAAAAATTGAGAGAAAGTAATAACAAAACAACACAAAAATAGGTTCAATGTTATTTCGACCGAACTTCCCTCGTCCCTATTGTACAGTCCAACAAATTTTACGTCTTTAAAAATGAATGAAATCATGTAAAATGTCAAAAAAGCACGACAAAAAAGGGTGAAAAAATCACAAAAAAGAAGTGGGCAAAAAGACAAAAAAAAAGGTAAAAAACAAAAACGACAAATAAACCATAAAAAAGTGACAACAAAGTGTCATAGAGTGACAAAACAAGGATACAAAACTTCAAAAACTCGATAAAAAATTGAAAAAAAAAAAAACAAAAAAAGTAAGCAAAAAAAATGCGGCAAAAACAAGAACTTATTAAAGAACAAGACGAAAAACAACAAAAAAAAAAGCAAAAAAGCGACTCAGAAAACGAAAAAATGACAAAAAACCACCATAGGAAAGGACGAAAAAACACAACAAAACGAAGCGGCCAAAAAGCCAAAAATTGACAAAAATTAAAAACATCAAAAAAGAACAGAAGTGTGACAAAAAGGGAGAAAAGATGACAAAAAAAAATCAAAAACACGATAAAAAATTGAGAAAAAAGGAAATAAAGCAAAAAATAGGCAAAAACAATACTTCAAAAACACAACAACAAAAAAAAAAAAACAAAAATCATGACGGAAAAGGGGACAGAAAACCGACAAAAAGACGACACAAAAAAAATCCAGTGAAAGTAATAACAACACTACACAAAAATAGGTTCAGTGTTACGTCTTTAGAAATGAATGAAATCATGTAAAATGTCAAAAAAGCGCAGCAAAAAAGGGTGAAAAAAAAACACAAAAAAGAAGTGGTCAAAAAGACAAAAAAATAGATTAAAAGAACAAAAAAAAAACGACAAAACAACAACAAAAAAAGTGACGAAAAATGACAAGAAAACAAAAAGTGAGATAAAGTGACAAAAAAAGGATAGAAAAATTCAAGATGAAAAATGAAAAAAACGTCAAAAAAGTGAATCAAATAACGAAAATGTGACAAAAAAAGAACACCATAGAAAATGACGAAAAAACACAACAAAACGAAGCGGCCAAATCGACGAAAATTAAGAACATAAAAAACCAAAACCATGACAAAAAATGAGAACACAAGAAAAAAAATCAAAATCACGACAAAAAAGTGAGAAAAAAGAAAAAAAAAAGGTAAAAACAAGGTCTAAAATAAAAAAAAAAAAAAGGACGCAAAAGTGCACAGAAAGGCGACACAAAAAATCGAGAGAGTGTGAAAATAGGTTCAATGTTATTCCGACAGAATTTCCCCCGTCCTTATTGCATAGTCCAGCAAATTTTGCGTCTTTAGAAATTAATGAAATCATGTAAAATGTCAAAAACACGACAGAAAAGGGCGAAAAAATATTACAAAAAGAAGTGGGTGAGGCAAAAAATAAAGAAAAACAAAAGACAAAAAAACAACAAAAAAAGTGACAATAAAAACGACAAGAAAACAACAAAAAGTGAGACAAAATGAAAAAAAAAGGACACAAAAAATCAAAAACACGACAAAAAAAAATAAAAAAAAGTGAAAAAGTAAGCAACAAAAAATTAGCGAAAAACAAAGACGTCAGAAAACACAATAGAAAATGAGGAAAAAATTCCACAACACGTAGCGGCCAAAAAGACAAAAATTGACAAAAATCAAAACTTCAAAAAAACAACAAAAATGACAAAAGAAGACAAAAAGTCAAAACCATGACAAAGATTGAGGAAAAAGAACCCGAAAAAGCAATAAAAAAACAATTAAAACAAGATGACAAAAAAACAAAAAAAAGCGACAAAAAAAGACGACACACAAAAAAGACAATAATAAAAAACTATAGATAAACAGTTTCAATGTTTCCTGGCCGTTGTCGTACAGTCTAACAAATCTTTAAATATTAATAAAACCATATAAAATGCCAAAAAAAACGACAGGAAAACACGAAAAAACACCACAAAACGAAGTAGCCAAAAGGCAAAAAATAGACAAAAAGAAAAAACTCACAAATAGTAACAAAAAATTAGAAAATGACAAAATTAGACAATAAGTCGGAAACACGATAAAAAAAGTGGGAAAAAAACAACAATAAACAAAACAACAAATAACGGCGAAAACACGAAAAAAACAACAAAAAAGGCCATAAAAAAGAAAACAATAGTAAAAATTCTGGTACAAATGTGAGGAAAAAAAGCAATAAAAGTAAGTAATAAAGAAAACAAAAACAAGATGAAAAATAATTAAAAAACGCCGATAAAAACGAGTGAAAAAGCGACTCAAAAACGAAGTGACAAAAAACGACAAAAAAAAAATTAAAAAACGTCCAAGGTTATTTAGACAGGATTTCCTTCACTCTTGTAGAACAGTCCATCAAATCTTGTTTCTTTAAAAATGAATAAAACCATAAAAATGGGGAGAAATAAAAATAAAAAAAGGGGCCAGAAAAACGAAAAATAGACAAAACGAAAGACAATAAAAAAATTACAAAAGGAGACAAAAAGTCAAAAGCATTACGAAAAGAGAGAAAAAAAGCAACAAGAAATGTCAAAAAACTACTACAAAAAAAAAAAAAAAGAAAAACGCGATAAAACATTTAGAAAGAACTTCCTTCGCCCCTGTAGTAGAGTCCAACTTATCTTCTTGAAAAATTGTAAATACAATGTAAAATTTTTAAGGTGTAAGTCATCAAAGTGTTGATTAGCGTTCTACCATTTACGTAAAATTCCTAAAACAGGTCTAAAATTCGACCACAATCGACAGACAGACTTATTTTTTTGTACTCTATAGGTCTTAAAAAGTTGATACAGACGACAGACACATAGACAACAGACAGACGGAAATGGGAGACCAGTTTTTTCGTACTCTAAAGGCCATAAAATGTCGAAAAAGTGACATTTAGGCAATGTGTTACTAACTAAAAATCTGATATTTTGTTGGGTAAAAAGCAGAGACTCTTGCATTATATTTGACATAAAATTTCGGTTTGTTAACAAGTTCTTAAAAATTTTAAAAAGACGAGGTAATTTTGCTTTGAAAAATAAATAATAGACAATTCTGCTTTTACTGAAAAACACTGAATTTAAAACACAATTATGGGTAGCTATTTTTCTGTTTCCAATTGTTAAATAAAAAATGAGAAAGTACCAATCAACAATTAAAAATCAACAATAACCCCGCAAAGAAATAAATTATAACCAAAGTCAAGTTTAAAGATTTTTTTTTCCAGACGACTACATAAAATACAAGCATAAAACACTAGTAGATACTGTTGTTAATTTTAACATAAAAAAACTAATTTCTCGTGCGCTTGACAACAAAAAATCAAACAACAAATCCCCCTGGATTAACACTGCAAACCAACTCGCCACAAACAGTCCTGTAAAGAAATAAATTATACAATCCGCACAAACACGACAATATTTGACAAGCCCATAAAAATAAAATAAAGCAGAACAAATTAAGCAATAAACCGCGTTGCTATGCCCTGCGGCGATGCACCTCGACAACAACAAATTACCGCAAAACACGAAAACCAAAACCCGGTTTATTCTAACACCGCCTTTTTTCCATTTTTTGGCAATTAAGCCGCTCCGGCAAAGGACAGCGTTAGTCGCGGACGTCTTACGTAACTCCCAGACTCCCCAATTTAAATAAATTATTTTTACAACAATATAATCCAGCAGAGAGCCGCTCAAATTCGCACGATCACGTGGATCACGTTCGATTGTTATAATATAACCACCACCAGCACGAGAGCAAGCAAATTGACTCAGACCCAACAGTGCCGTTGCTCGAGTAAGTTGTGCTCGTCGACTCTCTCCAAGAATCACAAGGTGAGTTAACTTTGACTTATATCAACACGTTTTAGTTTAGTGGTGGCCGGGTTTAATCAAAACGAAAATTTGACGATGGTTTAAGTCAAAATTTGACTTTTTTTTGATTTTTAAAATTTTTTTACAGTAAAAAAAAAAATGAAATGTTTTTACATATCTATTAAGGTTTGACTGTATTTTCTTTGAGTGGCAACCCTTGTGGAAATATTCCGCTGTTAGTCAAAGGATGTTCACCTCCGATCAGCAAGGACTCCGAACTAATCAAAGTGACGAAACCCTTCCCAAATATTTACCCTCATTGTATACAAATAATCGTCCTGAGTTTGGCACTTTTCCTGCTCCACTTTCCCAGTTGGCGCTTTTCATTGATAAAATTTCGGTTGTGGGCGCACGTGTTGCATTCTGGCCGGCTTCCAGGCTGCTACAGTCAGCTCCTTAAAAAAATTCAAGGTCCTGATATAGTCGGAGATAAGAGCGCATAAATTCTCGGCGATTGTCAGTCTTATGTAAAGCCTCCGAAAATCCGTCTGGTGCTCTTGCCGACAGTTAGCTCCAGCCGCCCAGGGCAGCCAACATTCTTCTTTTCATAATAGCAGTAATTACGGCCGCTCTAAAAACTCTCAAAGACGTGATACTTTTCAGTAATGAGTGCACGACTCGGGGAACGAAGAATCACGCTGATTTGCCGTGCAGAGCTAGGGAATGCGGCCAAGGCTGCAAATCTAGGACCTAAGCTCGATTTTTCGACTTACCGAAAATCGACTTCGCGAAATTTTTGACCCCGTAATGGGAATTCGTCGGGTTTCTTTCATCAGCGGTTTTATGACTTGAGTGATCGTGGGTAATTGGCGATTTCATCATCCTTTTGTCGACTGATTTGGTAGAAAGTTTGAGGAGTTGGGCGATTTTGGCAGCCTTGTTTCATACTTGACTTACTTTATTAATCGACTGAATAGCCACAGTGTGATACGTTATCGGTTTTTATGCCTCGTTGCTGTTTTATTCACGCTTTGAACTGTTGAGATAGCAAAGTGCAGTGGCAACGTGTTTGATGCGCTCGAGTAGGTGAGGTCAATTTCGCGCGAAGATAGCGGAAATTGCGGTTGGAAGACTTGATGAAAGGCTGACGCAACCTGAGGTTCGTACCTTCGGTGGAGAATCCAAATTAGGAACTTTAATGATGATAATGATAATGATAGTGCAACAGGTGGTGATTGGGGGAATTAGGTTCTTGAAAAACGCAAATCTGGTTTTTCAGTGGGTTGTAGACGTGTAATTGATTTGATTTAATCAGTAGGTTTGCATTAATCATGCCATTAAACTTGCTTTGATTGGTTTTGACGTCAGCGAAAACGCCTTTATAGAGTTTATCTTGTCAAAAAATATATATATTTATTACATTTTTATGTATTGAATTTTTTTATCGCACCAAAGTCAAAATCTACTAAATATGATAAAAATGAGGTTCCAAAATCAAATTTCCAGTCGATAATATCATCAAAAAGATCTTAAAACAAAATACCAATGTAATCTCAATCAGCACAAAAATCAACCAATTCTTAACATAATTTAAACAGAAAAACCTTCACAGCGTCAAAATTTTTGCTTTAAAGTCAAATTAATAGATGCATTCCTTTCCAGAACCAAAATGTTTAAAAATTCTTCTTGATATGAGTTCTGAACTTTGCTCTGGAATTTTTTTCAAGTTTAAATAGTGATTTATAAAAGCAAGGTTAAGTTAATATAGTAAAATACGAATTTATATACAATAGTGATAATAGGAATACTAATGTTACAAATTATTTTTTACAGGCGGTTTATTTATTGGTGGTTTGTTTATTTTAAATAAATAATATTAAATAAATAAACTTTCCTTCGTAAAATGAAGAAACTAAAGCAACGACAATACAACTCCAGAAAATGAAGTTAAAAAAATAATAGTGATTTTCTTGTTTTTAAGGTCTAACTTTTTACTTGGCTTTATTAATGATTGTTCCGCTTTGACTTGATAACGTACAGAACCTGTAAGCAATGCATTTTATATGGGAGAATTCGCTGCTGTGTTGTCAGTTATCAAAATTCTACCGATTTCTAAAGAATTTTAAAAATTTTTACTTCAAAGATAAATATACTTTGCTTTGGAATGTTTTTTTGTTTAAATAGACAATTAAATACAAGGTTAATTCATAATACAACACGAATTTACGCATAACAGTGATAATAGTGGTACTAATAATACAAAACTATTTTTGAATGGTTGTTTATCGGTACTTCATCTCAGTGAGTTACTTTATTAAAAAAAAAAAAAAAAAAACTGGATGTATAAAACGCAGATGACACGACAAAACAAAAGAAAAAAGAAGATTTCACCTTCTTAAAAACACGTATGGAATTAGACTTTGAGATTTTTGTTTTTTACCTCTCGATAAAATAAAAACCAGAGGCATAAATAAAAAACTTGTCGAATTTGACTTTTTCTGGATCTTTTAATGTTCCGATTTCCAGGTGGTTTAATTTTCAATTTCGAATTCGAATTTTCTCGGTTTTTACACTTTTCGACTTCCCGATTTTTCGATTTTCCAATTTTTTGATGTTTCTATTTTTCAATTCTTTGATTCTTCGATTTTTCGATTAGTCAATTCGTTTTTTTAAATTTCGGATCTTTCGACTTCTCTTTCCCATTTGTCGATTTTTCAACTTTTCGGCACTTTTATTTTGGGAATTTTTTCGATGTTTCGGTCCCTCGATTTCGGGTTATTTTTATTTTTCGACTTTTCGGGCTTTCGATAATGCAAATTTTCAATTTTCGAATTTTCGATTTTTCCATTTATCAAGTTTTCGGTTTTTTGATTTTTGAATTTTTTTAATTTCGACCTGACTTGACCTGACCTGATTCGTTGAATTTTCAATTTTTCAGTATTCGAATCTTCGAATTTCAGTTTTTCAATTCTTTGATTTTTCACTTTCGAATTTTCGCCTTCTCGATTTTAAAAATGTTTCATTCTTCAGTTCTTTGAATTTCCAATTTCTTTGCTTTTCGATTTTTTAATTTTTCGATTTTCAGTTTTTCCGTTTTTTAGTTTTTATGTCGAAAAATTGAAAAAGCGAGAAATCTAAAAATCGAAACAACGAAATCTGGAGAATTCGAAAAATGATAAAACTGAAAAATTGAAAAATTTAAAAACCAAAAAGTTGAAACATGAAAAAACGAGAAATTGAAATTAACATAACAAAAAATTGAATAATCATAATAATTGAAAAATCCCAAAATTCGATCTCCAAAAATTGATCAATCGAAAAATTGAAAAATCCCAAAATTGAAACAGAGAAAAGTTGAGGAAGAATCGAAAATATGAAAATGGAAAAATCGAGAAATCGCGAAATTGAAAAGCCGTGAAACATTTAAAAATTGAGCAATGGAGAAATGAGAGTATCAAAATATCCAAAAATCGAAAACTTTAATAGTCAAAAGGTGGAGAAGTCGAAAAATCGAAAAGTCCAGAAGTTGGAAAAGTCGAGAAATCTGGAAAAGTCGAAAAATGACAAAATTGAAAAATCAGTTGATTGAAAAATCGAAACTTTAGAAACACCAAAAACTGGAATATTAAAAAATTAAAACATTGAAGATTCGAATATTAAAAAATCCTAAAACTCGAATATCGAAAAATTTAAAAATTGAAGAAAAATTGAAGAATATAAAAGTGAAAAATCTCAAAACTGGGACATCAAAAAATTGAGATAGGGGAAAATTTAAAAATCGAGAAATGGAAAAGTCGACAAACAATCGAAAATATGAAAATCGAAAACCTGAAGTCGAGACACCGAAACACGGAAAAATGAACAATGGAGAAACGAGCAATTCAAAATATCGAAAAATCAAAACATCTAATAGTATAACAGTCGAAAAATCGAGGTAAAAGTTGAAAAATCAAAAAATCGAAAAAGCGATTGATATAAAATTGGAAAATTTAAGAAACCAAAAAGCTGAAACATCAAAAAACGAGAAATTGAAGAAATTAACATAACAAAAATTTGAAGAATCATAATAATTGAAAAATCCCAAAATTCGATCTCCAAAAATTGATCAATCGACAAATAGAAAAATTGAAAAATCCCAAAACTAAAAAAGACAAACTGAGATATCGAAAAGTTGAGGAAGAATCGAAAATATGAAAATGGAAAAATCGAGAAATCGCGACATTGAAAAGCCGTGAAACATCTAAAAATTGGGCAATGGAGAAATGAGAGAATCAAAATATTCAAAAATCGAAAAATATAATAGTCAAAAGGTGGAGAAGTCGAAAATCGAGAAGTCCAGAAGTCGGAAAAGTCGAGACGTCTGGAAAAGTCGAAAAATCACAAAATCGAAAAATCAGTTGATTGAAAAATCGAAACCTTAGAAACACCAAAAAGTGGAATATTAAAAAATCAAAAAATTGAAGATTCGAAAATTAAAAAATCCTAAAACTCGAATATCGAAAAATTTTAAAATCGAAGAAAAATTGAACAATAGAAAAGGGAAAAATTTTAAAACTGGGACATCGAAAAATTTAGATAGGGGAAAATTAAAAAATTGAGAAATCGAAAAGTCGAGAAACAATCGAAAATATGAAAATCGAAAAACTGAAGTCGAGACACCGAAACACGGAAAAACGAACAATGGTGAAATGAGAAATTCAAAATATCGAAAAATCAAACATCTAATAGTGTAACAGTCGAAAAATCGAGGTAAAAGTTGAAAAATCAAAAAATCGAAAAAGCGATTGATATAAAATTAGAAAATTTAAGAAACCAAAAATTTGAAACATCAAAAAACGAGAAATTGAAGAAATTAGCATAACAAAAAATTGAAGAATTATAATAATTGAAAAATCTCAAAACTGTAAAAGACAAACTAAGATATCGAAAATTTGAGTAAGAATCAAAAATATAAAAATGGAAAAATCGAGAAATCGCGAAATTGAAAAGTCGTGAAACATCTAAAAATTGAGCAATGGAGAAATGAGGGAATCAAAATATCCAAAAATCGAAAAATCTAATAGTAAAAAGGTGGAGAAGTCGAAAATCGAAAAGTCCAGAAGTCGGAAAAGTCGAGACGTCTGGAAAAGTCGAAAAATCACAAAATCGAAAAATCAGTTGATTGAAAAATCGAAACTTTAGAAACACCAAAAACTGGAATAATAAAAAATGAAAAAGTTGAAGATTCGAAAATTTAAAAAATCCTAAAACTCGAATATCGAAAAATTTTAAAATCGAAGAAAAACTGAACAATAGAAAAGTGAAAAATCTCAAAACTGGGACATCGAAAAATTGAGATAGGGAAAAATTAAAAAAATCGAGAAATGAAAAAGTCGAGAAACAATGGAAAATATGAAAATCGAAAAACTGAAGTCGAGACACCGAAACACGGAAAAATGAGCAATGAAGAAATAAGAAATTCAAAATATCGAAAAATCAAAACATCTAATAGTGTAACGGTCGAAAAATCGAGGTAAAAGTTGAAAAATCAACAAATCGAAAAAGCGATTGATATAAAATTAGAAAATTTAAGAAACCAAAAAGTTGAAACATCAAAAAACGAGAAATTGAAAAAATTAGCATAACAAAAAATTGATGAATCATAATAATTGAAATATCGAAGAAAAATTGAACAATAGAAAAGTGAAAAATTTTAAAACTGGGACATCGAAAAATTTAGATAGGGGAAAATTAAAAAATTGAGAAATCGAAAAGTCGAGAAACAATCGAAAATATGAAAATCGAAAAACTGAGACGTCGAGAAATGAGAAATTCAAAATATCGAAAAATCAAAACATCTAATAGTGTAACAGTCGAAAAATCGAAAAAGCGATTGATAGAAAATTAGAAAATTTAGAAACACCAAACACTATAAAAATTGAAAAATCGTAAAACTCAAATATGGGAAAATAGAGAAAAATCAAAAAACTGGTCGAAAGTTGTACATTTTGACCAAAAAGTTACCATGCTTACAATACCTTCAAAACGTCAAAGATTCAAAGTATTCAGTTTTGCAATTCTTGATTTATTCAATAAAATAAATTGACTCAGTCATTATTTTTTTTGAGACACCCCGTATAAGCAAATCTAAAAAATATTATGCAGTGGTAAATCACAAGTGTATCACTATATTTTGCACATTTAAGATAGGATTTATTCCGCAATATTTTAGTAGTAGCCACTAGAGGAGTGTCTCAAGGGTCACACATTTGTCCCATATTATTTTCTCTTTTTATTAACGATGCGAAAGACAAGATTAATAGTAGTTTCCTATGTTTTGCAGATTATCTGAAATTTTTCGCAAAATTTTATGTGTACTTGATTGTCAAAAATTACCACATGACATTAACAAAATTTGTCGTATTGTTCTAGAAATTCTATTAAAAAATTATTTAATTCTCCGAAAAGGTAGACCACACAGGGATATTTAGAAGATAAGCTTGCAATAATTATGTCTCAAATGACTGACTAACGATTATTTATAGCAGATTTTTATTATTATCGATTATCTATTAAGCATTCTTTCTATATAGAGATAACAGAGTCAGATTCATACGAATTTCTAAAATGCACAGAACGATAAATATTTAATCAAAATTGTGATAAATTTACAGTACAAAATTATTTTTTAGTGAATTGATATGGAAATCGATTAGTATTCGTTAATCCGTTATAAATAAAAATAATCTTTTTTTTCAAAATATTGCATATTAAATTTAGTAAATATATTGTATTGATTCAAGTTTTACACCTTCTTTTTGACTGTTTTTGAAATTATGACGCACTTTGAACACTGAAACAACACATATGTAGTTGGAATTTTAAGCATTGATAGCTCTTTTCTAATTGCATACCAGTTTACAGTTACTCATTATTAACGAAAGATAAACTTTTGATATGCAAATATTTTTCTAGTGTGTTGTTGTGATATAGCGTGTTCGGTGAAATTATTATCAATTACTGAGTAATTTATTGTTATTATTTACATTTTTAATAGTTCTACTACTACCAAGAACAAATTCTTCACGCTGGTGTTACGTGGTTGAAGAAATGTGAATCATTATCACTTTATTTATCAGGAATTTTTGATAATTTGTTACAATGTTTGCAAAATATAAAAAACTGTTGATTCTAAACTTAAAATGTAAAAGATGATATGAAGAAAAGGAAATTAAAAGAAACAACTTACCTTTATCTGAAATGCGTTGTTGTAAAGCGTGAAACCTAAAATACTTTTTGAAAGACCTTAAAATGGAAAAAAATCAGGAATCAGATTGTGTTTTTTGCGGGTTGTTTTTTAATAATTTATTATTTTTCTTCGAATGTTTTTCACCAATTTTTGTCGCTATCGTTCCACATTCTTCTGTGTATTCTTATCAAATCTTAACGTAACCCTACACACTCAATTATCTCTTGCATGATATTTTTTATGACTTAGACGAAATTAGATACAATTATTAGAAACAGCGATAAAGATTATGAACTTGTTGACAAACCCCGTCTTTCTAAAAAACAGTGATTAAACCGACTGTTCAAAATTCCCACATTACCATTAATCCGTCAAAACAATTCCTTTTTGCCCTCAACCATAATCGACAGCATTATCACTAATGCCACTCCACACAATAAACACAATTATCTCATCCATTACACCATTGTCAACCATTTAGGATCACTCCACAATTGATGATGAAAGACCCCACTGAAGGAAATTTAATTCACGGTTACATCAGCCACAATCATCAATGGTGTGATAACGATTATCAGAACCCACTGTAGTAAATGCAAGGCGATGACTTTGACTTTTCTGAAACATGACCCGACCTAAAAATCCTACTATCTCGGGATTGTATAAATAGGTAGTAAACAGAGTAGTAGCTCAAAGTTGCTTCGTCATCCCGCAGGTTAACAATCAGGATGCCCAGTATTCTGCACGAGATAACCGTTCCCTTCAAGAAGGCCACCTTCGGGATGGGCTGCTTCTGGGCCTGCGACGCCCTTTTCGGCGCCCAGCAGGGGGTGCTCCGAACCAGAGTCGGCTACTCCGGGGGTACCACCATGGATCCTCAGTACCGAAAACTGTAAGTAAAAACAAACGACATTAAAAAGTCAATGACTCTGGATGTAACAGGGGTGACCACACGGAGGTCATCGAGATCGACTACGACCCCAAAGTCATCGGGTACGACCAACTATTAGAGCTGTTCTGGAACAACCACGAGTACGGGGTGACCACAATCATCAAAAAACAAGTAAGTTTGGCAAAACCGGCGTAGACGAGTTCTATTTTGTCAATTTCCAGTATATGTCGTTGATTCTCTACCACGACGACGACCAAAAGCGCGTCGCTGAAATCTCGCTGAAAAAAGAAGCCCACAAGTACAACGCCAAACTTCTTACTGAAATCAAACCAGCTGGTGCTTTCTACCCCGCTGAAAAGTAAGTTCGAGTGAAAAATTTTTCGTTTGGTGCTAATTTTTGCTTCTTCAGCTATCACCAGAAGTACCGTCTGCAAGAACATTCCTGGCTGTGCCAAGAGCTCGGTTTGACGCCCGAGCTGTTGCAGAGTTCGCACGTGGCTTCTCGTCTTAACGGTTACGTGGTCGGGGTGGGGAAATTGGACGATTTCGAAAAAGACGTTGCTAAATTGGCATTGACTGACAAAATTGCTAGTTTTGTTCGCACGCAGTTGATCGAGAACGAAGGAGGCAATTTGTACTGCTAAGTGACGGACTTTTATGGACATCTTGCTATTATTTATTTTATAAGTGATAAAGTAGTTTAGGTTTATGGACTATGATAAACATAATATGGGCCCACATAATGTTCAGTATTAGGTGTTTAGGTAGTGTTCTGGACTTGAATCTGTTAATGGTGAAACGTATTAAAGACTTTTAGGACATCCGGACTTTTACTGAGAGACTAAATTAGACTAAATAGTGATAACAATGATGAACTAGTGATCTTGATAACCTTGAGACGCGTCTAATCACGGAACGAGTGTTTGATAGGTTGTTCAGTATTCGCAGATGAGACAAGATTAATAAAATTCGTTTGTCATGATGACTTGCGTTTTTACACAACTGTGACAAATTTTGAAGATTACCTTTTGGTGCGGAGGCTTCAGAAGTTCGTTCGTTACTAATCGCCGAAAGTTCAATCACCAGGGTTTCCTTAAATAAACGAAAAACGATTATCTCGGTTCGTGCCCTTATTAATAATCTATGTTTTCCATCTGATGGTTTTCTCATGAAAAAAGTTTACTGAATATCGAAAGAAAAGTACTAATTAGTGGTAATTGAGGGTTTAGAATTTATGGAAAAATAATTCTCGGACGTAAGAAATTTGAACCTAATGAATAATAAATAGAGGCAGTTGGCTTACACGGTTTATTAATTTTTGGCGTAGTGCATTATTACGTGATCGGAATTTTGTCTAAGTGTATTTTTATACGCACTAATGTGTGAACTTGACCGAATTAAAAATACCTTTGGATGAAAACTAACACTGTGAAGCCAAAATAGTTTGAAATAGTTTACGACTATTTTTAGTTTTTTTGTGATTTAAATCTTGCGTGTGTCACTACAACCAGGGTTGAACGGAACAAATTACTGCGTTTAAAAATTCAAACTCTGAATTAAATTATTTATGGAAGCTGAAGGCGCAGCTGCATAAAGACAGAAGACGATTGGACAGCTACCATTAAATTATAAAATCCAGCACAACGTTCAGCGTAAATCATATTTGTCTTGAGCTAAGCTAGTTCATGTACTAAATACAACTCGACAGAGATTTTAAAGTCGCTGAAGCCTCTCGAGTGAAGTATTTTTTGCTGTGTCAAATTTTGCCTCAATTCTAGGTCTCAATGCAGAAATACGACTGGGAGGAAAATATTAAAGTAAACATTGTAACTCTAAAAATTCTGGGACTGTGGCCGAAAGGTACCTACAGACTCGGACCTTACATGGTGCACATGATAATCCTTGTAACTCTATTTCTACTAGCCCACATTTTTTCCCAAACAGTGAACATCTACTTCATTAGAACAGACTTAGCGGCTATCACAGGCACAGTCTACGTGCTTTTAGTCGAAGTATTGGTGGTTTTCAAAGTCTATTACTTCGTCACTAACATGGGCATGCTCAAACAACTCTTGAAAGATCTAGAAACCGACATGTTCCAACCGAAAAATTCGGTCCAAATTGGCGAAATCGAGACAAGCATTTGGTTCTGGAAGATAATTTACAAAGCGTTCTTGTATATGTGCATTGGTACGAACATGTTCTGGGCTGCTTATCCCCTCTTGGATAAAAGTACAAGTGGAAAAAGATTGCCATTTCTGGCTTGGTACCCGTTTGATACAACAAAATCACCTGCTTACGAGATCACTTACATTTATCAAATCGCTAGTGTCGGTTTTATCACCACTGTCCACGTCAACATAGACGCTTTAGTCGCCGCTTTGAACGTTTTCAGTGGCAACCAGTTTGATATTTTGTGTGATAACTTGAGGAATTTGCACAAACTTGGGGCAAGTGTGTTTGATAATTTTGTTTACTGCGTTGAGCATCACCAAGCGGTTTTGAGGTAAAAAAAAATGTTAGGTGTGGATGTTTTAGAATCTGTTGTTTTTTTTTAGTTATATTGATAAGTCTAATAAATTTTTGAACTGGATTTTGCTGGTGCAGTTCTTTGTAAGCGCCTTCTCCATTGGGATAACTATGTTTCAGTTGACTTTGGTAAGTTTGGAAAATTTTTGGTCGAGTGTTTTTGACTCAGTTTAAGGTTGTGCCGATGTCGAATGAGTTTTACACGCTGTTTTCATATGGTGTTGCCATCACAGTGCAGATTTTTATGTACTGTTGGTTTGGAAACGAGGTAGAAATTAAGGTAAAAAATGTGTTACTTCCTTTGGCGCCAACACACGATTTTGTGTTTAGAGTAATAAAGTCACCTACGCCGCATTCGAGTGTGAATGGCCGGACTTTTCCGAAGACTTAAAAAAGAGCTTACTGTTTTTCACTCTGAGTTCGCTGAAGCCTGTGAAATTGTCGGCCCTTAATTTGTTTTTTCTGTCTTTGGAGGCTTTCATGAGGGTAAGGATAGTTTTTAATTGATTGTTCTGTAGTTGAGGATGGATTTTTTATTTTAGATTCTCAAGACTGCTTGGTCTTATTTCGCTCTCTTGCATCAAGTCACTGCAAGGGAATAAGTTTGTTCAGTGATGTAGTAATGGCGAATATATTTGAATAATGTATGTATTTAATGTAATAAAGTGTTAGTTTTCAAAAAACGTGTCTAAGTATTTAACGATTAATAGAAAATACCGCAGCAATTTAAGGGGTAAATTCAATCAACTCATACTGTGGTTTTTGAACACATGTAAAAAAAGAAAATTGATTTTTTCCCATATACATCCAAATTTTTTCAAAAAAGAAATTCCAAATTGTACTATCACCTGTCGCGTTCGAAGCGCTGTTGGATGGCTTCTTTTTTTATCTTAAACTGTGACTCTTATTCATCCTATTGTTTTTGTGAATTAATATTAGTCTTACACTGCACGTGTCCGAATTGACATACGTGTCTTTGTTGAAATAACAGAACATTCTGAAATGGGAAAACTATGTAGAAGTACGGGCTTTACCTTGCCCTTTATCAATGCATTCATATTTTTGAAGCAACTGTTAATCCATTTGCCAGGGGCGGCTTATCTTACGAGGCAGGTGAAACAATGCCTCACCAATGAATTTAGGCTGCATTATTATTATTTTTAGTACTTCTGATTTCTGGTCAATAAAATATTTTTTCAAAATAAATAGGAAAATAATTGTTATTATTATCTTGTTGGGTGGGTATTTGTAAATGAGTCCGTCGGCCGACTCCCTCGTTTACTTTTCCTCGAACTTTCATGCCCCTAGAGTACGAAGAAATAGGTGTCCTGTTTCCGTCTGTCTGTCTGTCTGCCGTCTGTCCAGACTATTATTACACAGATAATTTTCGAACTACTGGACCGATTCCGCCCTCATTTTGTCATCTTTTCATCGCTTCTCTTATTACCTTTTCTCGTTGCTTTTTTATGATTTTTTTTTTAGCAAGTGGTCCTTTTTGCTGTTTTTGTCACTTCTTCACTCCCTTGTTTCAATCGTTTTTTATTCTTTTTTTTTTTGTTGCAAGTTTTTCTCACACTGACACAATTTGATGACGCGATCACAAAATTTTCCTACGTACATAAACATTTCTGTAACTGCGGTTTATGAATTTGCCTGGACTTCTTACATCTGGACTTTTTACAGTTTTAACGCATTTTGTCATAATTTGATGACGTTATCTCACACTTTGCAACGTCAATCTTATTTAAATTTTATGAAATAACATTCTTCTGTAGTTGTGGTTTATGAATTCGCCTTGATTTTTCCCTTAGACGTCCAGAAAAAATCTCAAAATTTTGCTTGATCGTATCTAAATATATAAACATTAGGAACCCGCATTTTTTATTTCTACGTCTTATCGTAGTTTTTATTTTCCTTCTTTTTTTGTTGGGAATTTTCTCTGTCCAAATTTGACAGTTTCTCCAGTTTTTTACTTTGTTAGCAGGCACATTAAACTATCCAAAAAAGAGAATATAATATACGGCAAGATGCAACTAAATCTAATTTTAATATTCAGAGTGTTTATAAAATAATTCTAAGACTTTACAACGAATAAGTGAACAAAGTTCTTGAACATTTTAACGATTTAAAATATAATGTTCCCGAATGACAAAATTTACAAATTTACATTTCAAATTGTATTATGAAATGCTAAAACACTCGCCAAAATTTGTTACCAACAATCACGTAATTTCCAAATTTTACAATAGTAGATGTAATTTAAATTTTATATCCTACGTTTATGGTTTATGAATCCGTGTTGTTTTTACCTTAAACGTCAAGATTTTTGGAAAAGAATCAACAATATTTTCCAGGAAGCGTGTTAAATCGTTAGTCAAAATTTATTTGTTCATGCTACTGGGAATTAATGACGTAATTTTACAATTTTGTCGAATAAATGTTATTTAAATGTTAAAAAGTAGCATAATCCTGAAGCCTATTGAGATTTTTCGACTTTTCGATTTCTCAATTTTTCAATTTTGGGCTTTTTCAATTTTCCTATTCTTCAAATTTTCGTTTCTCAATTTTCCGGTGTTTGAATAATACGACTTCTCAATTTTTGTTCTTTTCAATTTTAGAAATTTTTCAAATTTTGACGTTTCTAAATTTTCAGCTTTCCGAATTCTGAACTAATCTTTTTTTTTATTTTTCCCATTCTCGACTTCCCAAAGTTTCGATTTTTTAAGCTTACGATTTTTCGACTTCGCTTTTTTAGTTTTTCGGTAATTCGATTTTCGGACTTTTAGATTTTTCCAATTTTCCTTCTTTAAAATTTTTCCATTTATCAATTTTTTGATTTCTCTATTTATCGAATTCAGATATTTTGACGTTTTAAGTGTTCAATTTCTCGATTTATCAATTTTTCGATTTTTAACTTTCGTCTCCTCAATTTCGCGATCCTCTGATTTTTCGATTTCTTCATGTCTCAGTTTTTGAATTTTTCGATGTTTCGATTTTTGGATTTCTCGGTTTTTCGAATTTTACATTTTTCATTTCTTTAAATTCTGGAGTTTCTATTTCTCCGTTTGTCGAATTTTCATTTTTTTCCGATATTTTAATTGTACAATGTTTTAATTTTTCGATTTTTCGATTTTTCCAATTTTGACCTTGCGAAATATTCAGTTTTCCGATTTCTCAGTTAATCTATTTTTGATTTTCTCATTTCTCGACTTCTCGAAGTTTCCATTTTTCAGTTCATCTACTCTTCAACTTTTCAATTTTTCGACTTTGCATTTTTAGTTTTTCGATTTCCCAATTTTCCAATTTTTTAATTTCTCAATCTTTCGATATTTCTTTCAGTTTTGGGATTCTTCGATGTTTTGATTACTTGACTTTTCGATTTTTCGACTTCCCGGTTTTAGATTTTTCAATTTTTCGACTGTTTTATATTTCGATTTCTCAAATTTTTAACTTTTCGATATTTTAATTTTTCAATTTTTAAAATTCTAGATTTTTCAATTTCTCGAGTTTTCAATTCTTCTCTATTTTAATTTTTCAAGTTTCCGAATTCTTAAATTTTCGATTTTTCAATTTTTTGAGATCTCGTTTTATGGAGATGCAGATGGCTCGATTATTTGATTATTCAATCTCCCTATTTTTCAATTTTTCCATTTTTAACTCTTCGACTTTTCGAATTTGGCCTTTTTCGGATTGTCAATTTTTCAATTTTTCGACTTCTCGGTTTTAGATTTTTTTGGATTTTCAGTTTTTCGTTTTTTAAACTTCAGATTTTTCAATTTTTCGACTGTTTTATATTTCTATTTCTCAAATTTTTAACTTTTCGATATTTTAATTTTTCAATTTTTCAAATTCTAGATTTTTCAATTTCTCGAGTTTTCAATTCTTCTCTATTTTAATTTTTCAAGTTTCCGAATTCTTAAATTTTCGATTTTTCAATTTTTTGAGATCTCGTTCTATGGAGATGCGGATGGTGCGATGTTTTGATGATTCAATCTCCCGGTTTTTCAATTTTTCCATTTTTAACTCTTAGAATTTTCGATTTTGGCCGTTTTCGGATTGTCAATTTTTCAATTTTTCGACTTCCCGGTTTTAGATTTTTTTTGGATTTTCAGTTTTTCGTTTTTTAAACTTCAGATTTTTCAATTTTTCGACTGTTTTATATTTCGATTTCTTGGTTTTTTGATTTTTTATTTTTCGGCTTTCCGATTTTTCGATGTTTTGATTTTTTAATTATCCGATTTTTCAACTTTAGATTTTCGAATTTTTATCTTTTTGATTTTTTGATGATTCGAGTTCTCCATTTTTCAATTTTACGGTATTTTAATTTTTCAATGTTTTAAATTTCACATTTTTCGATTTTACAATTTTTCAGTTCTTCTATATTTTTTAATTTTCAAATTTTGACGTTTCTGAATTTTCAGTTTTCCGATTTCTCAGTTAATCTATTTTTGATTTTCTCATTTCTCGACTTCTCGAAGTTTCGATTTTTCAGTTCATCTACTCTTCGACTTTTCAATTTTTCGACTTTGCTTTTTTAGTTTTTCGATTTTCCAATTTTCCAATTTTTTCCTTTCTCAATCTTTCGATATTTCTTTCGATTCTGGGATTCTTCGATGTTTTGATTACTTGACTTTTCGATTTTTCGACTTCCCGGTTTTAGATTTTTTTTTGGATTTTCAGTTTTTCGTTTTTTAAACTTTAGATTTTTCAATTTTTAAAATTCTAGATTTTTCAATTTCTCGAGTTTTCAATTCTTCTCTATTTTAATTTTTCAAGTCTCCGAATTCTTAAATTTTCGATTTTTCAATTTTTTGAGATCTCGTTTTATGGGGATGCAGATGGTTCGATGTTTTGATTATTCAATCTCCCAATTTTTCAATTTTTCCATTTTTAACTCTTCGACTTCTCGGTTTTAGATTTTTTTTGGATTTTCAGTTTTTCGTTTTTTAAACTTCAGATTTTTCAATTTTTCGACTGTTTTATATTTCTATTTCTCAAATTTTTAACTTTTCGATATTTTAATTTTTCAATTTTTAAAATTCTAGATTTTTCAATTTCTCGAGTTTTCAATTCTTCTCTATTTTAATTTTTCAAATTTCCGAATTCTTAAATTTTCGATTTTTCAATTTTTTGAGATCTCGTTTTATGGAGATGCAGACGGTTCGATGTTTTGATTATTCAATCTCCCAATTTTTCAATTTTTCCATTTTTAACTCTTCGATTTTTCGGAATGTCAATTTTTCAATTTTTTGACTTCCTGGTTTTAGAGGTTTTTTGGATTTTCAGTTTTTCGTTTTTTAAACTTCAGATTTTTCAATTTTTCGACTATTTTATATTTCGATTTATCAAATTTTTAACTTTTCCATATTTTAATTTTTCAATTTTTAAAATTCTACATTTTTCAATTTCTAGAGTTTTCAATTCTTTTCTATTTTAATTTTTCAAGTTTCCGAATTCTTAAATTTTCGATTTTTCAATTTTCTGAGATCTCGTTTTATGGAGATGCAGACGGTTCGATGTTTTTTGATTATTCAATCTCCCAAGTTTTGAATTTTTCCACTTTTAACTCTTCGACTTTTCGAGTCCTCGATTTCTTCATCTTTTGATTTGTCGGTTTTTTGATTTTTTATTTTTCGGCTTTTCGATTTTTCCATGTTTTGAGTTTTGAATTATCCGATTTTTCAACTTTAGAGTTTCGAATTTTTATCTTTTTGATGTTTCGATTTCTCCATTTTTCAATTTTACGGTATTTTAATTTTTCAATGTTTTAAATTTCAGATTTTTCGAATTTACGATTTTTCAGTTCTTCTATATTTTTTAATTTTTCAAATTTTGACGTTTCTGAATTATCAGTTTTCCGATTTCTCAATTAATCTATTTTTTGATTTACTCATTTCTCGTCTTCCCAAAGTTTCAATTTTTCAGTTCAACAGTTCTTCAATTTTTCGATTTTTCAGTTTTTTGATTTTTCAATTTTCGATTTTTTTAAGTTTGCGATTTCCCAATTTATGGATATTTCGGTCAATTTTGTGTTTTTCGATTCTTCAATTGTTCGATTTTTCGAGTTATAGATTTTCCGATTTCTCGACTTTTTACTTTTTGGATTTTCAATTTTTCGTTTTTTAAACTTTAGGTTTTTCAAGTTTTCGACCGTTTTATACTTCGATTTCTCAATTTTTCGACTTTTAGATATTTTAACTTTTCAATTTTTAAAATTTTGGGTTTTTCGATTTCTCGAGTTTTCAGTTTTTCGTATATTTAAATTTTTCAATTTTCGGAATTTTTAAATTTTCGATTTTCTAATTTTGCGATGTTGCGGTTTTTCAATTATCCGATTGTTTAATTTACGATTATAGAATCAATTCTTAATTAAACAAAAAAATAGTTGCATGTCAAAACCGAGTGAAACATGTGAGAAGTGATATTATGTAAATTATTATGTATTATATAAAATTTGGACAATCGTCTTCAGCAACAATCTGACAACGTCCGCTCATTATATTGTTTAATTAACATTACTGACTTTGTAGGAAGTAATATACTCCTGTACATGTGGTTTACGAATCTGCCTTGATTTTGTTTATTATTACTATTTTTTTTAAACCTTCTTGTGGACGGCATATCTTTTTATTCATTAGATAAAATAAATTGAATCAAATTAATCACTCTCAAATTTTTTATTGATCAAATTAAGAACGAGTCATTCCATTTTCTCGAAAATGTGAGAATACGCACGTCTTTATTTTTCAATAATGATTAAATAAGAATAATAATAATAGTAATATTCAGAACATTTTATCTGATTTTGGGTAACTTAATTGATAACTTTAATCCTCTTTTTTGAGGCGACAAACTCATTCAAATCAAATTTATTTCTACGTGTCTTCTTCCGAAGAATAAACATAAATACTTCAAGTTGTTTTATTATTGCTGAGAGACCATTTTTACTTATTGAGCGTAAGCTAGGAAAGTAACGAAGTCCATCGGGCGACTTGATAGTTTTATATTTTCTCTACGTTTCATAACCCTAGGGGATCCTGAGCCTCTCCTAGAGAAATTTTTGCCGCCCCTAAACCTAGATAAGTTATAATTAACCAAATGTGAATTACAATTTTTTATGTTTTGGTTTTAGGTGTAATTTGTAGAAAACTTGATACTGACATTTTATCGTCGAAACGTTGCAAAGGAAGTGAAATGAAGGATCCGCAAATGAAATTAAGCAAATTTTTTGATGATATAATTAATCAAATCCAAATTAGATTTTCCGGCATAGAAAAATTACACATTTTTGACTTGCAAATTCAGAAAAAACAGTCTCTAAAATATTTAGGGGAGGCAACATTTTCAAATTTCTGCTTTTTCACGTAGGCATAAGTTATAAAAAACCTGAGGTAGACAAAAATGATATATTCAAAGGACCCAGATGTCGAGGTAATGAACTGTCCGAGTACAAAATTACTCCAGTTTCAAGTGGACAATTAAAGTGTCAATTATTGATGCAGTTCTGCATAAGAGTTTAAATTTAGGTCTTGTTCCCGTAACAATTACTACTTCCTTGTGGGAACGTTGAAATGTAGACACACGTTTTAATAATGTAACAGCTTTGAAATATACTGGTGGCCACAAGTGCAAAAATTTCAAGAATTTAATTAACATGCATTATATTACAAGACTGAAATTACTATTTCTGAACAAATTTTCCGAAGTTCCACAAACATTGCATTAGCATTAAGAATTTAATATCTACGGTTGTACTAAGCAAACACCAATTAAAAATTTATGTAAGGAATAAGAGCAAATAATTCAGGATTTTCAGCAACAGCGCAGAAGCGTATATGAAGAAAATGATTGGACCACCACACAAATATAACACACATATCAAATGAAAGAGTCAGTTGAAATTAACATAATTCAACTGTTTGAACGACGACAACCAAGAAACTAACTTTTCCAACACCGTTTACAGGTTTGAAATTTTTCCTGTATTTTGCACTTAATTCTGAAATAAGTCTTTGACGTGAAAATTTATTTAGCCATTTTTGGACAGTGACAAAATTAACATTTATTCAACTTGGAATGAAAACTTACCGACAGCAGCTTCTGTACACTTGAACACTATCTTCGGACTAATTGTAAAAAATTGAACGAAAATTTTCCACTTTATCTAATTACTATCCAGCCCTGCCCTCAACTGAATAATTAATAAACTGCCTCTCCATCTGTCAGTTTTCTCACGAAAAATTTTCATGACAATGATTGCTAAACTTCGGAAAAAAAATTCTAATCAGTAATTAGGTCCCATAATTGCTCTTAAATAAACGAAACAAATTCCAGATTTGATAAATTACAAAAAAGGGTGGTTATTATCTCATTAATAATAAGAGATGGCGTCAAAATATTTAAGAAATTGATTTCAGTTAGAGTGCTCATTGTTCACACAGCTTTCGTTAAAAGTACTTGATGAACTTCCACCGAGTAAATTTATAAAAAAAACGAATTCATTCACTTCCGTAAATATTTCTGTTTCAGATCAAAATGGACAAATATGACTGGGAATCCAACATTAAGATGAACATTCTAACGCTACGTCTTCTAGGACTGTGGCCAAAGGGCGATGACTACACACGAGGCCCTTATCTCACATACATGATTTTCCTTGTGGCATTCTTCATGATCACGCATCTTTTTTCCCAAACTTTAAACATGTACTACCAACGAAATAACCTACAAGTGCTCACAGGGACCGTCTACGTCCTCCTGGTCGAAATGGTCTGTGTGTTTAAAGTCTACTACCTCGTCACCAACATGGACATGCTGAAACAACTTCTGAAAGATCTGAAAACCGACATGTTTCAACCGAAAAATTCTGTTCAGATCGATGCCATCCAAGAAAGTATTAAATTCTGGAAAATCATTTACAACTTCTACCTATATTTTTGCATCGGCACGGACCTCTTTTGGGTGATTTATCCCCTTTTCGAGCTGTTTGGGCATTCAAACAGGAGACTGCCATTTTTTGCGTGGTATCCCTTCGAAACGAAGGAATCGCCAGTGTTCGAACTGACTTTTCTTTACCAGATTGCTAGCGTTGTTTTTTTTACTACTGTTCATGTCAATCTGGACTCGCTGGTGGCAGCTTTGAACGTTTTTAACGCAAGTCAATTTGATATTTTGTGCGATAATTTGAGAAATCTTCACAAACTTGGCGAAAATGTCGCAGTTAGTTTTGTTAACTGTGTTAAGCACCACAAAGTGACTTTAAGGTAAGGGAGAAGAATTTACAAAAATTAGTACATAATTTGTTTTCAGTTACGCTGACAAGTGTAACAATTTTTTGAACTGGATTTTGTTTATCCAGTTTTTTGTAAGCGCATTTTGTATTGGTATAACTATGTTTCAGCTAAGTGTGGTAAGTTAGTTATTTTATATTTGGGCGTTTTTGATATTAAACTTGTCTAGGTGGTACCAAATTCGAGCGAATTTTACTCTCTCTTGGTGTACGGAATCGCAATAACTCTACAAATTTTTATGTACTGTTGGTTTGGAAATGACGTAGAAGTCAAAGTATACCATACTAATATTTTTTATTGGAATTTATTATTGTTGTTTACATTTTAGAGCAACAATATCCCGTATGCCGCTTTTGAGTGTGACTGGACAAATTTTTCCGAAAGCTTAAAACGAGATTTAATATTTTTTGCCATGAAAGCCCAGCGCCCTGTCAAGTTATCAGCTCTAAATTTGTTTTATCTTTCGCTGGATACTTTCATGAAAGTGAGTACATATAACAAAATTTTATTGTGCTTTTAGTAGGAGGTTGTTTTTCAGATTATGAAAACTTCGTGGTCTTATTTCGCCCTCTTGAATCAAGTTACTTCGAAAAAGTAATGTTTAAGAAATAAGTACTGTGTAAATAATTTAAATATGTAGTTAAATGTAGTGGAGACTATCAAATTATAAATAAAATAAAAAATAAATTAAGCACGAAAAAGCGTAACCAGCTATTTTTTTAAACTAGAAGTTGTAGACAATTTTATTGTTGAAAATTTTAGGTTGTAGATTAAACAGCGTTATGATAAACTTGTATTTAATCTTTAATAAATAATTTTTAGCAGACTTATTCTTATATTTCACATCTATGTAATCTGTGTATAATGTGAGATCTTTTTATTTTCGGCTTAGAGATTAGTTGAGAGCTTTTTTAATTCAAAATGTTTTTCTGACGCTTAGTGTTTTATTGCTGTTTTTATATTGTCACTTTTTCGTGACCTAATTCAGTAATGCCAACTGGGACACGCTAATCAAGGTCAACTCTTAGCCAAAATGTTTTTGTTGGCAGAATAGTATGTTTGTTTACAAGTTTTAAGGTACTAATACCGAATTTAGATTATTTAATATTTATTTTATTACTGGACTAGATGTGTTGACAAAAATAACGCCAACCGAGTGTTAAGGCGTGCCAAAAAGAAAAACATGTATTTTTTTGAAAATTTGTTTGGATCTATTTTTAATTTAATTAATTGTTTTTGTCTTATTAATTTATAGGCGAAATGTACAAGGAATTTAATTGTTGATTAAACCCCGTAGCTCGTAAATAATTTCTGATTAATAAATAAATAGCACATGGATGGGAACGTCTTTGTATCCAGAAATAAGATTGGATCATTAAACATGTATTTGTATTTTTCGTGGAAATGTATATATTTATCCCTTCCAGAGAGCTGTGACGTCATCTGAAAAATTATTAGTAGCAACGTGAGGATCATCAATGCTTTTATTTTTTGGAAACTGTTATTCAGGCTGTCTCAAAAATATATCATAAAAGATAACGATGTCAAATTTTTCACCATTTGTTTTCGAGGTATTTTTAAAATTACTATTTAATCTTTTAAAAAATATTTTGCGTGTTTAAGTGAACTTTTTCAAATTTGAAGAAAAAATATCGAAATATTTTTGTTCGAAACGGTTTTTGTAGGCAAGAAAGTAATTTGAACTTATAGAAAAAACTGAAAAATTTTCTACAGTAAGAGTTTTTCTTTCAAGTAGTATAATAATGAATAAATAAAGATAATACGAGATTTATCGATCGAGAAAACTTTGGTACCGTTCTAAAATAAGTATAAACTCTAGGCTGAGTTTTAATTATGTCATAACTAAAATCAAATTCGAAGAATTGAAAAATCGAGAAATCTAAAATTTAAAAAACCTAGCAATCGAAAAGACGAAAATCTAAAGACTGGAAAAATTGAAAAATCTGGAAACTGAAACATCGACGAGTTAGAGGAATTTTATTGAAATCTAAATCGTTTTTTGAATGTCTCATACTTTAGAAGATGAACTTATTCAAAAATGATAAACAACATAAATTGAGATCAACTTTGTTACAAGTATCTACAACAATGAAAAAAGTTTGTATATACAGGGTGATTCAGAGCATTTTTGCATAATTTCAATGGCGAATTATAATACAAAAAATAAGTAAAAAGTTCTAGTAAAGGTATAATTATTTCTCAAAAATAGAGAAGCTACGGAATTTTTAAATTTGCTAGGTTATCAAAAGTATGTACTTTACACATGTTTTTATTGTTTGTTGAAGATGAGCTGCCTTTGAAATGCCATTATAATCAACCACAGTGGAAAGCAATTTTGATTACTCACGAAATTTTGAGATTCCTTGACATATCCATATCTGAAAGATTATTTACTATTGTTTGTCATATAATTCGCCTTTAAAATTATGCAATAGTGCCCTGAATAACTCTTTATATAATATATACAAACAAATACACTTCTTAAACTTGAAGGTGTGAACTAAATACAGCTTCTTCAGAATCCATCTTTGAAATATAGAAATTTTCGAAATTTTGCTTTTAAAACCGAACATTTTGAAAATGTTGCGCGATGAACATACATGCGCCATATTTTTTAATTCGTCACGTGGAAATCCACATCTTTGATTTTTTTGAGAATTTTTAGACAACATTTTTAAAAGTGAAATTTTTCAAATACTTCAATTCCTTCTTCAAATTTAGACCCATGTGGAATTTTCGAAACTTGGCTAAATACATTTTCTTGTAGATTTCGATATCCAGAAGCCATTTTCGGCTTCTTTTTTAGATAATTCCAACAGTTTTACAGGATCGGTCGTCGAAATATCGAAATTTTGGAATTTTTGGAAAATTTGTCGTGTAAACCGAAAATTTTGAAAATGTTGGGCGATGAACATATACATATGTGCCATATTTTTGGAATCAGCTCGTCGAGATCTACATCCCCGAATTTTTTGACAATTTTTAGACAACTTTTTTAAAACTGAAATTTTTCAAATACTTCAACACCATCTTCAAATTTCGACCCATTTTTGGAATTTTCGAAACTTAACTAAATACATTTTCTTGTAGATTTCCAGCCCTTGAACTTACTTCCGGCCTCGTTTCTTTGATAACTCCAACAGTTTTTCCCAAGTCAGCCGTCGAAATATCGAAATTTTCGAATTTTTTGAAAATTTGTCTTTAAAACCCAACATTTTGAAAATGTTGAGCGATGAACATACATGCGCCATATTTTCCGAATCAGCACGTCGAGATCTACATCCCTGAATTTTTTGAGAATCTTTAGAAAACTTATTTAAATGAAAAATTTTTCCAATGCAATCAAATTTAGACCCATTTTTGACAATTTTCGAAACTTAACTACATATATTTTCTTGTGAATTTCTCGAGTCCTACAACTCACTTTCGGCTTGGTTTCTTTGATAACTTCAGCAGTTTTTCCATAATCGGTCGTCAAAATATAGAAATTGTCGAATTTTTAGAAATTTTGCTTTAAAAATCGAACATTTTGAAAATGTTGCGCGATGAACATACATGCGCCATATTTTTTAATTCGTCACGTGGAAAACCACATCTCTGATTTTTTTGAGAATTTTTAGACAAAATTTTAAAAGTGAAATTTTTCAAATACTTCAATTCCTTCTTCAAATTTAGACCCATGTGGAGTTTTCGAAACTTAGCTAAATACATTTTCTTGTAGATTTCGATATCCAGAAGCCATTGTCGGTTTCGTTTTTTGATAATTTTCGAATTTTTGGAAAATTTGTCGTGTAAACCGAAGATTTTGAAAATATTGGGCGATCAACATATATGTGCCATATTTTTGGAATCAGCTCGTCGAGATCTACATCCCTGAATTTTTTGCCAACTTTCAGACAACTTTTTTAAAATTGAAAATTTTCAAATACTTCAATACCATCTTCAAGTTTCGACCCATTTTTGGAATTTTCGAAACTTAACTAAATACATTTTCTTGTAGATTTCCAGCCCTTGAACTCACTTCCGGCCTGGTTTCTTTGATAACTCCAACAGTTTTTCCCGAATCAGCCGTCGAAATAACGAAATTTTCGAATTTTTTGAAAATTTGTTTTTAAAACCGAACATTTTGCAAATGTTGAAGGATGAACATACATGCGCCATATTGTCCGAATCAGCACGTCGAGATCTACATCCCTGAATTTTTTGAGAATCTTTAGACAACTTTTTTAAATGAAAATTTTTTCCAATGCAATCAAATTTAGACCCATTTTTGAAACTTAACTACATATATTTTCTTGTGAATTTCTCGAGTCCTAGAACTCACTTTCGGCTTCGTTTCTTTGATAACTTCAGCAGTTTTTCCATAATCGGTAGTCAAAATATAGAAATTTTAAAATTTTTAGAAATTTTGCTTTAAAAATCGAACATTTTGAAAATGTTGCGCGATGAACATAGATGCGCCATATTTTTTAATCCGTCACGTGGAAATCCACATCTTTGATTTTTTTGAGAATTTTTAGACAACATTTTTAAAAGTGAAATTTTTCAAAAAACCTTCAAATTTAGACCCATGTGGAATTTTCGAAACTTAGCTAAATACATTTTCTTGTAGATTTCGATAACCAGAAGCCATTTTCGGCTTCTTTTTTAGATAATTCCAACAGTTTTACCAGGATCGGTCGTCGAAATATCGAAATTTTCGAATTTTTGGAGAATTTGTCGTGTAAACCGAAAATTTTGAAAATGTTGTGCGATGAACATACGTGTGCCATATTTTTGGAATCAGCACGTCGAGATCTACATCCCTGAATTTTTTGAGAATCTTTGGACAACTCTTTTAAATGAAAAATTTTTCCAATGCAATCAAATTTAGACCCATTTTTGACAATTTTCGAAAATTAACTACAAATATTTTCTTGTGAATTTCTCGAGTACTACAACTCACTTCCGGTCTCGTTTCTTTGATAACTTCAGCAGTTTTTCCAGAATCGGTCAGTGAAATATCGAAATTTTGCAATTTTTAGAAAATTTGTTATTAAAACTGAATATTTTGAAAATGTCAAGTGTCAAAATCAGTAATATCTTATAAAATGCTAATCTCGGCCAACCGGTCTCTATTTCCTTGGAAGATATTTCATTTGCCAACAAGAGTTTTATCTTATCAAATATTAGCCCCCCCCCCACCCGCCCTCTATTTTCTTGGAAAGTATGTGATTTGCCAAAATGAGTTTTATCTTAGCAAGTACTAGCCCCACCCACCCCGAGTCTTTTCATTCTAACGACTAATTTTATTTCTGCTCAGTATAAGGTCAGTCATTTCATTCAAACCGGATAAAATTAATCCCTGAAATGAAAGCAGGGTGGGTGGGTGAGGCTAACTTTGTTCTCCTATTGAGTGGGAGTGGAAACTAACATAATCCAGGATATGAAAAAAAAAAAAAAATCGCCAATCGTAAATTTTTTGTTGCGCTATTTGCTACTGGAACTGTAAAAATTGATATATTTCAATTGGCGATTGTGAAAGGACGACAGAAATTTTCGAAGAAACGAAGTCGAAAATGATATCTGGACATCGAAATCTACAAGAAAATGTCTAGCTAATCTTCGAAAATGGTTGAAAAATAGTCGAAAATGCCATGTGTCAAAATCACTCATATCTTATAAAATGCTAGTCCCGGCCAATAGGTCTCTAAATATTTTCTTGGAAGATATTTCATGTGCCAAAACTGTCTTTTTTTGTCAAATACTATCCCCGCCCACCCGCCCTCTATTTTCTTGGAAAGTATCCCCACTCTTCTCAGTTTATAGACTAATTTTATTTCTTTGAGTATAAGATGATTCATTTCATTCACTGGCTAAAATTAATCACTGAAATGAACGCAGGGTGGGTGGGCGGGGCTAATTATGTGCTTCTATGTAGTGGGAGTGCAAACTAATCGAATCTAGGATGTGAAAAAAGTAAAAGAAAGCGCTATTCGTAAATTGTTTGTGATACTATTTGCTATTAGAACTGTAAAAATTGCTATATTTCAATTGTCGATTTTGGAACAATGGTATTAATTTTCGAAGAACCGAAGCCGAAAATGACTCCTGGATGTCGAAACCTACAAGAAAATGTCTATGATTAACACACGTGCGCCATATGTTTTAATTTCGTAACGTCGAGATCCACATCGCTAAATTTTTTGAGAATTTTTAGACAACTTTTTTAAAAGTGAAAATTTTCCCCCCTTCTTCAAATTTCGACCCATTTCTGCCATTTTCGAAACTTAACTAAATACATTTTCATATCGAAGATTTTTCCAGAATCGACCACTGAAATATCGAAATTTTCAAATTTTTAGAAAATTTGTAAATCAGTTTAATAAATTTTTAGAAATCTCAAATTATGTGTTAACTCGACTAGTGTCTCGGTAAAATAAATTTCACAAAAAGTTATGATCTAAACCGATCTGCAGGATATTCTGACTGAAACTTGAACTTGACACTTTTGCAATACATTACCTTTTTACCATAATTGCTCAGACTTCTTGGTAGATACGATAATTAACAACAATTTTTGTACAGTTTATCTTAATATCGTGCTTTGAGGTCACATTTAAATATATTAAGGCATGAAGTCAGTCTTCAACAATTGTTCACTACACGCACATTTGTCTTATCTTTGAATTTTGTAATAATAATTAGTGTTAAAAGTAAGAACGCCACTAACCTTCTAATACACGATCAATAATTGTCCTCGGCTCTAATAATTATAAAAATCCTGTGTGACGTACATCGACGAAAAGAATTTTCTTCAAACATTAACAATTAATCACCGTCTAGACCCTGGCCTTATTAATAAAATAGGTTTTCCTTCTAGACATGTAATTACTATTTTCTTGAGAAATATTATAGATAAATGTTACACCAGAAAGAAAAATTCTAATAACCAGTTTACGTCTAATTAATTACTGTAATTAAGAATTAACGTAACAATAACGAGTGACTGAATTTCAAGGTACCTTAATTAATAAAAAATGAAACCACCACTGGAGAAAATCGTTTTCGATAATGATAGTTTCGGCAGATAGTCTTTTCTGTGTGCATGTGACGCGTATAAGACGGATCAATGAGTTGTATCAAAAAATTTTATTCTTGTAAAAATAGTGCGAAAAAACCTACCACAATTTAATATATAAATAGTTAACCGTTAGACAACGGTTCATACGGTTTACACAATGGAGACGAAATACGACTGGGAGTCCAACATTAAAATGAACATTTTAACACTAAGAGCTTTGGGATTATGGCCTAAGGGTGACACGACCTACAAACCAGGCCTCTACATGCTTCACGCTGCAATTCTACTAACAGTGCTCTTACTAGGGCACTTATTCTTTCAAGCAGTCAACATTTATTTCATCAGAACGAACCTAGAAGCCGTCACAGGAACAATCTACGTGCTCCTAGTGGAAATGATCGTGGTTTTCAAAGTCAACTATCTAGTCAGGAACATGGGAATGGTGAAGCAGCTTTTAAGCATTTTGAAAACCGACATGTTTCAACCTAAAAATTCTGAGCAGATAGGTGCGATTCACACGAGTTTGTGGTTTTGGAGGATTATTTACAACATCCTTTTGTACTCATGCATTGGGACCAACATGTTTTGGGCTATTTATCCCCTGATGGACAGATCTGCGAGGGAGGAAAAGCGGCTGCCGTTTCTGGCTTGGTATCCCTTTGATACCTCGAAATCTCCAGCGTACGAAATTACTTACATTTATCAAGTGATTAGTGTTTGTACTATTACGACTCTTCATGTTAACATAGACGCTTTGGTGGCGGCTTTGAATGTGTTCAATGGTAGCCAGTTTGACATTCTGTGTGACAATTTGCGAAATCTTCATAAACTGGGTGGCAGCATCGCAGCGAATTTCCTAATTTGTGTCAAACACCACAAAGAAATTTTAAGGTTGCACAAGAAATATTTTCTTTTTTTGCGTGACTAAAAGTATCTTGTTTGTTTCAGTTTTTCAGATAGATTTAACAAATTCCTGAACTGGATTCTGTTTATTCAATTTTTTATTTTTACGTTTTGTATCGGAATGACTTTGTTTCAGTTGACTGTAGTAAGTTTGTAGATTTACTGGTAATTTTCCTGCTACTGTGTGTGTGTTTTTTTTTTTGAGGTGGCCCCGATGTCTAACGAATTTTATTCACTTGTGGCTTATGGACTAGCTATTACGACGCAGATTTTCATGTATTGTTGGTTTGGTAACGAGGTTGAAATTAAAGTGAGTTTATACTCATTATTAGTTTATTTTTTTAATCGTTTTGTGGGTGTAGAGTAGCAAAATTCCTTATGCGGCTTTTGAATGTGATTGGACAAGTTTTTCGCTTGATATAAAGAAGATGTTGTTATTTTTCACGCTCAGAGCGCAGAAACCAGTGAAATTGTCAGCTCTGAATTTGTTTTATCTTTCTTTGGAAACTTTTCTGCGGGTATGTATATCATATTTACGTTCACTAAACAGTAATAGATAATTTTTTGTAGATCCTAAAGACATCTTATTCTTATTTTGCACTCTTGCAACAAGTTAATGCTGAAAAATAAATTACAAAAATATACCGAGACATTTTTTTAAGTCAGAACATATGAAAGTATGTTCAGTTTAAAAAAAAATCACACGTTAATGCATGGAGTATAAACACCACGAAAGAAATAGAACAAATGATGTTTTAGTTTCTTTCATATGTTCAGAGTTAAAAAAATGTCTTGCTGTATACCTACGGCAATGTTACTGGCAAATAGAGCGAAACTGAAAAAAAAAAGGTCAAAGTTGGCCAAGCACGAAAAACCGCTTGTCTTAGATTGATAGAGTTATTTATTAAATTTCAAATTGACACGAGAAGTTTTAAATAATGTTATTAAAGCTTTTCTTCTAGCATCCTATTTTAGAAATGGAAGTATGCTGGAAAACGTAGTTATTTTTGACGATGTTTATCAGGATGTCAGAAGAGCTGGTAGTGGAAAGCTAAAAAAATGAACAGCTGAGGTGTTAGAAAATCCAAGAGAAATTGTGTCCACATTAATTCGAAGGCTTAGCCAAGAAGTAAATCTGTCGTATGGAATTTAAAAAAACTGACTTGAAAAAATGGTTACTCAAGTAGAGTGTTTACAAAAATCGATCACAAAACTTGTTGGAATTGAAGTAGGCCAAACAATTAGAAATTGTTACATTTGAAATGCTTTCGATAATGATGGATAACGTTTTCGGCAACTTTTGTTAATAAATTTTTCGTCTATCGTTAGTTTCGTTTCATTTTTTATGTTCCAATAATAGTTTGGATATTTAACTTTAAGCTTTAGTATTGTCAACTCGACATTTCAGAATAATTATTTTAATCCAAAAGTTATTCTCTCACCCAGGTTTTATGATCAGTTGTAAAGTTTTGTGTTATTTTTTTTTTAAATCCACATCCGTAAAATCAAAAATAAAGGTGACTTATTAAGTGTGTCATAATTCAAGGGTAAGTCTCCCGATTTTGAAATGACGTCATCAGTTTTTCATGAGACATACACAAAAAAGTTGTACTAATATTCCATAAACACTTAAATAGTTAATATTTTAGTTATCCTGAGCAAGTTTTCAAGACAAAAAAAAGAATATGTTGTTAAAACATAAGCAGTACGGATTTCAGGCCATGTTTCTTTAATAAATTTTTGTTTTCACGTAATGTACTGTACCCAAATATACTTTTTCAGTTCTTATAAATTTTCTACTTTTCTCATTTCTCTCGTTTCTCATTTCCCACACTTCTTATTTCTGACTTCTTCTCATTTCTCAATTCTCACTTGTCAATTCTCATTTCTCAGTTCTCCGTTTTCAGTTCTCATTTCTCAGCTCTCATTTTCAGTTCTCATTTCTCAGTTATCATTTTTCATTTGTCACATTTCCAGTTTCTCATATTTTCCGTTTCTCACGTTTTCGTTTGCCAAGTTTACAATTTCTCCTTTCACATTTCTTATTTCCCCCATTTCACATTTCCCACTTTTTTTATATCTCAGTTTTCGTTTCTTCTAATATAATAATTTTCATTTGTTTTTGTTCACATTTACCATTTCTTATTTTTCAACGTTTTCTGTTGTAATGTTTCCTATTTCTCACGTTTCCCATTTACTACATTTTTCATTTCTCACGTTTCTCATTACTTGTATCTTATTTCTGACATTTTCATTTCTCAGTTCTAATTTCATCTCATTTCTCATTTTTACTTATTTATCACTTAAATTTCCGATTTCGCATTAGGCATTTTGCATTTCTCACATTTCCTATTTCTCATATTTTCCATTTCTAAAGTTTCCCATTTCTCATGATTTCGTTTGTAAAGTTGTCAAATTTCTCACGTTTTTATTTGTCACGTTTCTCATTTCCTACATTTTTCGTTTCTCACGTTTCTCATTTCTTGCATTTCGCATTTCATTTCATTACTTTTCATCTCTCAGTTTTAATTTATTCTCATTTGTACTTATTTTTCATTTAAATTTCCTATTTTGCATTTGGCCTTTTGCATTTTTCACATTTTCTCAGGTTTTCTCAGGTTTCAAATTTCTTACATTTTTCAATTCCCATTTCTCAATTCTCATTTGACAATTCTCATTTCTCAATTATCGTATCTCATTTCTCAAGCCTCATTTCTCATTTCTCAGTTCTCACTTCTCAGTTCTCATTTCTCAGTTATCATTTTTCATTTCTCACATTTCCCATTTTTAACGTTTCCCATTTCTCACGATTTCGTTTGTAAAGTTGTCAAATTTTAATTTCTCACTTTTCGTATTTTTCGTTTTTCGTTTCGTGTAATATAATAATTTTTATTTCTCTTTGTACACATCTCCCATTCCTTATTTTTCCACGTTTCCTCTTTATAATGTTTCCGATTTCTCACGTTTTTTATTTGTCACGTTTCCCATTTCCTACATTTTTCGTTTCTCACGTTTCTCATTTCTTGCATTTCGCATTTCATTTCATTACTTTTCATTTCTCAGTTTTCATTTCTTCTTATTTGTACTTATTTTTCATTTAAATTTCCTATTTTGCATTTGGCCTTTTGCATTTTTCACATTTTCCATTTCTCAAGTTTGAAATTTCTCACATTTTTCAATTCCATTTCTGAATTCTCATTTTACAATTCTCATTTCTCAATTCTCACTTCTCAAATTTCATTTCTCAAGCCTCATTTCTCGTTTCTCAGTTCTCACTTCTCAGTTCTCATTTCTCAGTTATCATTTTTCATTTCTCACATTTCCCATTTCTCTTATTTTCCATTCCTAACGTTTCCCATTTCTCACGATTTCGTTTGTAAAATTGTCAAATTTTCATTTCTCATTTGTTATTTCTCCCATTTATCATTTCTCACTTTTCTTATTTTCCGCTTTTCGTTTCGTGTAATATAATAATTTTTATTTCTCTTTATTCACATTTCCCATTCCTTATTTTTCCACGTTTCCTGTTTATAATGTTCCCCTTTTCTCTCGTTTTTTATTTGTCACGTTTCCCATTTCCTATATTTTTCGTTTCTCACGTTTCTTATTTCTTGCATTTCTCATTTCAAACATTTCTCAATTCTTCTCGTTTGTCATTACTTTTCATTTCTCAGTTCTAATTTCTTCTCATTTCTACTTATTTTTGATTTAAATTTTCCATTTCTTCACATTTCGCATTTCCCATGTTTTAAATTTCTTACATTTCTTAATTCTTATTTCCCATTTATAACTTCCCAGTTCTTCCTTTTTCACATTTCCCACTCGTTAATTTTCATATTTCTTAAGTTTCCTATCTACAACATTTGCTATTTTCTACGTTTTTCATTTCTAATTTCTCATTTCTCATTTCTCGTTCATCATTTCGCATTTCTTTGATCACATTTTCCATTTCTCACGTTGCCCATTTCTTGTATTTCTTAATTTTCATTTCTAATTTCTCATTTTTCAGTTTTAATTTCTCCTTTTTCACATTTACTATTTCTCATGTTTCCATTCCTCGCGTTCCCATTTCACACGTTTTTTGTTTCCCACATTTTTCATTCCCTTTTATTTCGCATTTCGCATTTCTACTCACATTTCTTATTTCTCATACTTCCCATTTCTCACGTTTCTCATTTTTATTGTTTATCATTTTTTACATTTCGCAGCCCTCATTTCTTATTTCACATTTCTTCTCAGTTTTCATTTTTCAATTAATTCGCATTTTTGACGTTTCTCATTTCTTATATTGTATGTGTTGCATTTTAAATTCTCTTTCATTTCGCATTTTCCGTTTTCCATTTTTCACGTTTCCCATTTCCTATATTTCTCATTTTTCACGTTTCTCACTTTTGGCATTTCTCTTTTCTTCTCATTTCGTGTTTCTTACATTTCCTATTTTTTTTTTTTATAAAATTAGCTTCAATATTTCATTTTAAACTTATTTTTAGTGTGTCTATATTTCAAATTTATTGCAAAGGGGCAACAAAAAATGCATATTACTTATTCCTAAGGGCACTAAAGAAAATTATACTAATTTGAAATATGAACATATTTTTAAATTACACATAGAGGCGATTGTTCTAATAAAAATATCAAGCTAGGTTTACTTCGCAAAATTTTGAAACGTCACCAAATTATGGTGAGGATGAACCGACAACCGGCAAACTTTGGTTTACGTCTTGTAAAAGTATAAAGTTGTGTATTTGTCAAAATAACCTTATTACAAATAAATGTACTATTCATCGTTGTTAATTTTGTTATTTGATTCGGAAAGAAACGATACCTGCCTATAAATATAATTTATATTTAACAAAACGTTGCTGTACTTATTACAGTAAAGAGATATATGATTACCTAACATCATATAATTATTCCGTCAGCTGAGAGTTCTGTTTTCATAAGAACATAGGTAATTATCTGCGATAAACACATCATGATTAAGTAATGCTAATCCTATTTACAGCTGTTTGAAACAGGTGTCCAGGTCGCAGAAGCAAATTTCCTTTTGACCTAACACTTACCAATTTAACAAAAACGAATCCTGCAGCTTTTTGATTTCGATATTGTGTATGTAAATGACACAAAAATTATTGTTAAATGGAGGTAAGTAAGTCTCAGTCATTAATAAAAATGCACAGATTGCTTTTGAAAAAATCCAAGTGACGTCATAGGTTGCTCAGCATCAATCATATTTGTTCTTAATTGCAGATCGTGTAAAAATAAAGTGAATTATTCGACCGATTCTGTCAATTTACATTCTCGAATCAGTATCTGTTAACAAGATTATTGTGGCACAATCGTACGTTAAAAATAATTCAGTCTGGTATGGCTATACACGGCAAGTGAAGTTTTAGCATGATAATAATTAATAACTTAAATCGAAACTTGCAATTATTCCGATTCTGTTTGCAAACAGACACTCTGTAAATTATTAAGTATCGTTAATGAGGGTCGGTAGTTTATATTACAGTATGTTGTCAGCGACTATTTATTAATGCACTAACTCGGAAAGCAATTGTGGGAGTGCATAAAATTTTCAGTTTCTACATCGATGATATTAAAGCCTTAAAAAATTTGCGTTTTAAAAAGTTTTTCTGACTTTTTTAATTTGTTAAAAGTTTGAAAAAATATTTTTTTGAATAAAAATTAGTGATATGTGAACACAAAATATTGTACATACCCTTCACACTGAACGAACTAGAGAAATCTCTATATAGTAAGCATATTGGTCACATTTTTGCTTTACTAATTGCAAACTGAACTACATAATTAGCCCAAACTTCTCTCCATGAAACGTAAGTCTGTTTAAACAGAAATGAAAAAGGGGCGTGATCACAAATTATATTTTAGATAATTATACCCTTTTGCCTTTATTAAAAATTTATATTCACGTTTCTACCAATATTTTTTTGATAAATGTAGCCTTAGATACTCACCGAATGCAGATAATAACGGTGTACATCGAAATAATTGGTACAACGAAGAGCTTCAAACAAAAATTAGTTTTAAAATTTAATTAGAGGTCTTGAATGAATCGATAAAAAATTAAAATCAGCTATAAATGTTGCGGAAGCTGTCCACAAATCCAGACGAGACAACCGACCGAAAAACGTAAATATTTTTTCTAGTAGTTGTGGGCTTTGAATCGTTGACACTGACATTGGCCGAAATAAAAATAAGTATTGGAGACACTAGGTGAGTGCGTGCCAAGTTACCTATTTCTCAACAATGCTAAAAATGCAACCTATTTTTAGGATTCTAGAGCACGACTAAATTAGATAACTGAAACAAAAAAGCTAAAAATAAGTAAGAGGATCTGAATATTTGTTAGTAAATACGTCTTACGATACGAGAGCGAACTAATTCATACTTCTATTTTGAAAATGATGGAAAAATATGAGTGGCGCTACCACATTAAATTTCACATGTTGACTCTAAGAATGCTGGGGTTGTGGCCTAGGGGTGAAGAAACCTACAAACCAGGACTATACATGATGCATTCAGCAACAGCCCTAACTGTGTTTCTCCTAGGACACATATTTTTCCAAGTTGTCAATATTTACTTCATCCGAACCAATCTGGAAGCTGTGACAGGAACAGTCTATGTCCTAGTCATCGACATGTTAGTAGTTTTTAAAGTCTATTGCGTCATCACAAACATGGGGATGCTAAAACAGCTTTTACGAACTCTGGATACCGACATGTTTCAGCCAAAAAACACCGTACAAATGGGTGCCATAGAAATAAGCACGTGGTTCTGGAAAGTGATCTACAAAACTTTATTTTCTCTATGTATTTTACCAAACATGTTCTGGGCTATTTACCCCCTGCTAGACACAACAAGCACAGAACAAAAACGACTACCATTTTTGGCTTGGTATCCCTTTGATACCACGAAATCACCAATGTATGAACTCACTTACATTTATCAAATTAGCAGCATTGTGTATATCACTGCAATCCATATCAATATTGATGCTTTAGTGGCAGCTTTGAACGTCTTCAATGGCAGCCAGTTTGATATTTTGTGCGACAATTTAAGAAACCTTCATAAATTAGGCGAAAATATTTTGAAGAATTTTATCGGTTGTGTGAAGCATCATAAAGAAATTTTGAGGTAGCAGATGTTGATACTATTGATAGTGGCGTTATAATGACGATATTTCAGTTTTGCCGACAAATCCAACAGGTTCTTGAACTGGATTCTCTTCGTCCAGTTTTTCGTTTTCGCATTCTGTATTGGGATAACTTTATTTCAGCTAACTTTGGTAGGTATGGATGTGTGAAAATGTAATTTTATTGTCGACGAATTGAAGGTGATTCCAATGTCGAATGAATTTTTTTCACTATTGTCGTATGGAGTTGCCATTACGATGCAAATTTTTATGTATTGTTGGTTTGGAAACGAAATTGAAGTTAAGGTACCTTTTAACAATACTTGTTTCTATATTATTATTATCAGTGTTTTTAGAGCAGTAATATTCCCTATGCAGCGTTTGAGTGTCAGTGGACAGACTTTTCCGAGAAAATAAAAAGGAAGCTGTTATTTTTTACTTTAGTGTCGCAGAAACCAGTGAGATTTTCGGCTATCAATTTGTTTTATCTTAACTTGGACACTTTTTTAAGGGTACTGATTTTTGGGTGAATATTCATAGATAACACGTTTTTTGTTTTAGATTTTGAAGACTTCGTACTCTTATTTTGCCTTATTGCATCAAGTCAACTCGTAGAGACATTTTTTGTAGCACTCTGTATCACTTTGGACGTCAATGAAAAATATTTTGTAATGTATTAACATAATAAACAAAATATAAATAATGAATTTGAATCTAGTGTTTTGACGCTTTATATTTATTTATTATTTATTGAAAAAAACAGATTCGAATTTGCATATAAATAGTTCTGTGAATCGTTATAATACCGCGTGGAAAACCCAAACAATTCAGTTAAATGAAATTAATAATTTCTTGTTTAATGTTAGAGAAAATTCACAACTCATTTTTTTATAGACTTTAATATTGAACTTGGTTTGAAATAATCCTTGGTTTTTATTTACTTATTTTGTTTTGTTTGTAAGTACCAAATAAAATGTATTGTAATGTTTTCAAGGTATGCAACCCGCTATTTCCTCTAATGCGAAGAAAGTTGTCTATGTTCGAACTGACATTTTCATCTCTCGTTATAATTAAAATATGCTCATTTCCCAATGTATTATGTGTTGTAATTTTATACGGCATGATCCAAAAGTGATGGAAAAGCTCGACAGGACGTTGATACGAAAGCTCTGAGGTACCCGTAAAAAATGGTTAAAAAATCCTCGAACCAAGTTTTTGAACATATTAGACGTCAAAGTTAAATAACTGACTTCGTAATTCTGATAGTTTTAATGTGAATTTAATTGACAGTCTAAAATTCCGCTAAAAATTGTCAAAAATTACACTTGTCAAAAGTAAAAAATGACGTCGTGGATTCTAGCAAATTATTATTAAATTATTAACAACTGTTTATTAGACTGGAAGTTCATTAAAACAAACCTCTGAAAATACGAGGCCGATTGTTCTCACATTTTAAATGTATGTTAGAACTAACGCTAACTAAAATTTGACTAATTATCCGCACTAGCAATTTGATGATATGTCCTTAACATTTTGTCAAGTAAATACTGTTTAAATTTTATAAAATAACATAATTTTGTATCTGTGGTTTATGAATCAGCCTTGATTATTCATCACAATTACTACTATGCTACTAGAGTATTTTTAAGAGCAACGGTGATGAAGTGCTGATAAAAGCAGACGGAGACAAAATCATGGCTCAGTTAAACGTTTTGTTTACACCGTTGCCGTGGAAACCGTGCGTCTAGTCGCGGTAGTGGGCTGGAATCGGCTCTTGTTCCGATAGTGACCACCAGCAGTAATTCGATGGCGGGTTTTAGTTTCCATTCTGCGCCAGTGAAATTATTTCATTTTAAATAAAAATAATGAATTCGGTTGAATATTTAATAAAAAATCGTCCCCTGTTTCCGTCTGTCGGTCTGTTCGTCTATCTGGTGTCTGTATCCATTTTTATTAGACAAGTAATCTCCGAAACTACTGGATTGTTGTAAAATTTTGTATCCCCACCACCAATGGGATGAGGTCATCTTCAAAATTTATAATAAAAAGTTTTTTTAAATTTCATAAAATAAGATACTCCTACACTTGTAGTATGTGAAACCGTGTCGAATTTTTTTCATTTTCAACGTTTCGATTTCAAATTTTTTTTTGACTTTAGTTTTTTCAATTATTCGATTTCTCAATCTCCAAATTTTTCAATATTTCGTTTCTGCAATTTTTCTTTTTTTTTCATTTTGTTTATTTTTTTTATGTTTCTTTCGATTCAATAATTTTTATTTCCATTTTTCAATTTTTGTTTCTTCAATTTTTCAAGTTCTTGATCTCCAAGTTTTAGATTTTTGAATATTTTCATTTTATGCTTTTTGTTTTTTCATTTTTGATTTTTCAGTTGCACAATTTTGCAGTTTTTACATTTTATTGATTCGAAAATTTAAAAAATTCAAAACCTGAAAAATCGAATAACTAAAAAAACGAAATAAAACTGTAAAATCGAAAAATTGCAAACAAGAGAAAATGAATCGAATCGAAAAATTGGAAAATCCAGAAATTGTCAAATCGAAAAATTGTAGAATTTTCAACAGTGTGAAGTCGAAAAACTGTAACACTGAAAGATCGAAAAATTGAAAAATGGAATAAATGAAAAAGTTTCAAAACTCAATTAATTATAAAAATGGTAAAATTCTAAAATCGTAAAATGGAAAGGCGAAAAATTTTAACAATTATACTCCTAATTATTATTACATATTTTTAAAATGAAAACTAGAAAATTTGCGAACGAAAACTCAAAGAAACGAAAAATTGAAAAAGCCAAAAGAAACTTCACATTGAAAAAAAGAAACATTATAAAATGAAGAATTGAAAAAAAGGAAATAAAAAACCGGAACCAAAAATTGAAAATCGAAAAACTGAAGACATGAAAAATTAAAGAATCGAAAAATTGAAAAATTCAAAATTGAAAATTCCAGAAATTGATGATAAAGTGAAAAATTTATAAACAAAAATTTGAAGAGTTGCATATCGTAAATTTGAAGAAATAAAAAAATTAAAAATTGTAAAATTGCAAATCAAAAAATTGAATAAAAAAAATTGAAAAAATTTAAACTGAAAAAACAACAAATTATGAAATCGAAAATTTGAAGAAATAAAAAATTAAAGAATCGAAAAATTGGTAAATCAAAAATTGGAAACTACGGAAATTATAAAATTGAACCACTGAAAAATCGAACAATTGAGAAAATAAGACAAATAAAAAACCGAAACGAAAAATTTCAAACTGAAAAATTCATAAATTAAAAACTGAAAATTCGAAAACTTGCAAATAGAAAAACTGAAGACGTGAAAAATTGAAAACTCCAGAAACTGCAAATTCAAAAATTGCATAATCTAAAAATTGAAGTATCCGAAAGTTGGAAAATAGAACAATTGAAAAATTTGTAAATGAAAACTTCAAGAGTTGCATATCATAAACTCGAAGAAATAAAAACAATAAAAATTGAAAAATTGCAAATCGAAAATTGAAGAAACGAGAAATTGAAAAAATTGGAACGAAGAAACAAGAAATTATGAAATCGAAAATTTGAAGAAAAAAAAATTAAAGAATCAAAAAATTGATAAATCAAAAATTGGAAACTACGGAAATTATAAAATCGAACAATTGAGAAAATAGGACAAATAAAAAACCGAAACGAAAAATTTCAAACTGAAAAATTGATAAATTAAAAACTGAAAATTCGAAAACTTGCAAATAGAAAAACTGATGACGTGAAAAATTGAAAACTCCAGAAATTGCAAATTCAAATATTGCATAATCTAAAAATTGAAGTATCCGAAAGTTGGAAACTCGAACAATTAAAAATTTGTAAGTGAAAACTTGAAGAGTTGCATATCATAAATTGGAAGAAATAAAAACAATAAAAACTGAAAAAACAAGAAATTATGAAGTCGAAAATTTGAAGAAATAAAAAATTAAAGAATCGAAAACTTGGTAAATCAAAAATTGGAAACTACGGAAATTATAAAATCGAACCACTGAAAAATCGAACAATTGAGAAAATAGGACAAATAAAAAACCGAAACGAAAAATTTCAAACTGAAAAATTGATAAATTAAAAACTTAAAATTCGAAAACTTGCAAATCGAAAAATTGAAGACGAGAAATATTGAAAACTCCAGAAATTGCAAATTCAAATATTGTATAATCTAAAAATTGAAGTATCCGAAAGTTGGAAAATCGAACAATTAAAAATTTGTAAGTGAAAACTTGAAGAGTTGCATATATAATAAATTCGAAGAAATAAAAACAATAAAAATTGAAAAATTGAAAATCAAATATTGAAGAAACGAGAAATTGAAAAAATAGGAACGAAGAAACAAGAAATTATGAAATCGAAAATTTGAAGAAATAAAAAATTAAAGAATCAAAAAATTGATGAATCAAAAATTGGAAACTACGGAAATTATAAAATCGAACCATTTAAAAATCAAACAATGGAGAAAATACAAAAAATAAAAAACCGAAACAAAAAATTGTAAACTAAAAAAATGATAAATTAAAAACTGAAAATTCGAAAACTTGCAAATAGAAAAACTGAAGACGTGAAAAATTGAAAACTCCAGAAAATGCAAATTCATAAATTGGATAATCTAAAAATTGAAGTATCCGAAAGTTGGAAAATCGAACAATTAAAAATTTGTAAATGAAAACTTGAAGAGTTGCATATCATAAATTCGAAGAAATAAAAACAATAACAATTGAAAAATTGCAAATCGAAAGTTGAAGAAACGAGAAATTGAAAAAATTGGAACGAAGAAACAAGAAATTATGAAATCGAAAATTTGAAGAAATAAAAAATTAAAGAATCAAAAAATTGATAAATCAAAAATTGGAAACTACGGAAATTATAAAACCGAACCATTTAAAAATCGAACAATGGAAAAAATAGAAAAAATAAAAAACCGAAACGAAAAATTGTAAATTAAAAAATTGATAAATTAAAAACTGAAAATTCGAAAACTTGCAAATAGAAAAACTGAAGACGTGAAAAATTGAAAACTCCAGAAAATGCAAATTCAAAAATTGCATAATCTAAAAATTGAAGTATCCGAAAGTTGGAAAATCGAACAATTGAAAAATTTGTAAATGAAAACTTGAAGAGTTGCATATCATAAATTCGAAGAAATAAGAACCATAAAAATTGAAAAATTGCAAATCGAAAATTGAAGAAACGAGAAATTGAAAAAATTGGAACGAAGAAAAATTATGAAATCGAAAATTTGAAGAAATAAAAAATTAAAGAATCAAAAAATTGATAAATCAAAAATTGGAAACTACGGAAATTATAAAACAGAACCATTTAAAAATCGAACAATGGAAAAAATAGAAAAAATAAAAAACCGAAACAAAAAATTGTAAATTAAAAAACTGATAAATTAAAAACCGAAAATTCGAAAACTTGCAAATAGAAAAACTGAAGACGTGAAAAATTGAAAACTCCAGAAAATGCAAATTCAAAAATTGCATAATCTAAAAATTGAAGTATCCGAAAGTTGGAAAATCGAACAATTGAAAAATTTGTAAATGAAAACTTGAAGAGTTGCATATCATAAATTCGAAG